TTTTTTCAATTTCGTTGGATTTCACCCAAAAAAACCCCACCAAAAGTTCATCTTTTTCGTTTTTTTTTTTGTGGGGGGGGGTGGGGCAGGGGATGCATCGCAACGTGGCACCGCCAGAATCGTGAAACCCCCTCCCCTGCGGCCGCCACGTGTCCGCGAATCCGCGCGTCCGCGCGGACACGTCCACGGGCGTCGCGGACTGGCTGCGGCCGCGGACTTGGCCGCGCCTGTCCGCCGCCCGGGGTGATTCTCTCTCTCTCTCTCTCTCTCTCTCTCTCTCTCTCTCTCTCTCTCTCTCTCTCTCTCTCTCTCTCTCTCTCTCTCTCTGCACAATCGTCCAGCACCACGTCCGCACCACAGCCAACGACGCTTTTCGTTAGTCATCGATCGCCACCTCAGCAACAATGTGCCACATCAGCAATGTTGCCGTTGTCTTCAAGTTCTCAAATCCACTTCATCATCTTTAGAGGGTGACTGGACACGCGCATGCCAATGTCCAGGTCGTGATTATAATTGTGCGCGTCTATAGACGTGATTCATTCGTCGTGCGGCACTTTCCCCACTTACCTCGGCGCGTTCAGGCGCGTGACAACAGATCGCGACGAAAAAGTTAATCTTCAATAGCAAATTGTAATGAGCCCAGTCAGGAGGAAACCCGTTAAGTGTCGAAATACAAGATAACTCGGCGCTGATAACTGTCTTCAATAATCATGAAATGTGATATGTAATACAATGACATTGTCTCCTCACCATAGGATGAAAAAGATAAGAGAGAGATTAAACTTAGAGGGTGGAAGAAAACGTATCCAACCATGTCCACGTAGATAGAACACCTTCATTCCTCACTCCTCCTTCGGTCGTCTCCTCTCATCCACGTCAGCAAACAGTGTGTCCCCGTCGGCCTGAAACGAGTCTGACAAGATCTGATCACAACATAGTGCCACGTAGGCACGGATCTCCCATGAAGACGTCTCTGCCTATGTGTCCGATTTTCGGTTCAACAGGTTCAACTGTCGTTGAACCCCCGTTACAACGCAGTGCTACACCATGTTAGAACGCGGTAAAACTCGGCCCGCAAATTTTTTTTTCGCAGGCAAAAATTAATCAAAATAAATAAATAAATAAAATCGGGGTGTAAATTTTTTTGCACTCTACATCCCCATATTATAATTTTTATTTTGTGAGCATTTAAATTATTTATAAAAAATCAAAGACCTAACCAGACTCAAAACACATTGATCTTTTTTTTTTTTTTGATTGATTGATTGATTGGTGGATGATGGGTCATATGAATCCCCCTCGGCGACGGCCAAGTGCGGCCGAATCCGCGGACGGGGCCAGTCCGCCGACCCCGCGGACGCGCGGCTTTGACGCCACGTGGCGGCCAAATGGGAAGGGGGTTGAAGATTCGGGAAGCGCCATGGGGTGGCGCAACCCCGGCCATACCCCCTTACACAAAAAAAAATGAAAAAAAAAAAAATTGAATTGTGGGGGTTGGGCTATATTACGAGGAGAAATGAAGAAAAAAACATGAACGTTTTTTTTTTTTTTTTTTTCCATTGATTGATTGATTGGTGGAGGCGTGGTCGCGCCTTTGATTGATTGATTGATTGATTGATTCATTCATTCATTCATTCATTCGTTCATTTAATATTCGATTTTGCTTCTTTTTTTTTTGTTGATTGATTGATTGATTGATTGATTGATTGATTGATTGATTGATTGATTGATTGATTGGTTGATTGATTGATTGATTGGTGGGGGCGGGGTCGCCCACCCCGCCTTTGATTGATTCATTCATTCATTCATTCATTCATTCATTTAATCTTCGATTTTGCTTTTTTTTGTTTTTTTTGTTGATTGATTGATTGATAGATTGGTGGGGGAGGGGTCGCCCCGCCCCCCCGCCACCCACCACGCGCCCGCACACACACACACACACAAAGTGCGTTGTGCACGCGCAGGCAAGGACGCAGCGCGGCAGCGACGGCAGCGCACACACACACACACACACATATACATACAGTTAATATATAAATATATATATATTGTTTTTTATTATGAATGAAAATTTTCTTTTTTCGGAACCTTAGACTTTTCAACGATCATTATGATACCCACATTGGAACCCTTACCATGTATAATGACCTGTGTTTGAAATCCGGGATGGGACGGGCCCTGTAAATAAGGTACCCCGTTCAAGAAAATCCCTTGGGTTGTATCCGGTCGCATAACCAATTATGTACGGTTATATACGATCATATCAGGTAAGCACATCCATCGGTAACCCTGGAATGACCCCCACGGTGCTTACTGGGATCACCCGCCCGGAAATGTACCCACACCTGGACTAGATTCCTCTCCACGATCCCCGGTTGGATGGAATTTCTTGGTTTTGAGACACGGTCCGCGGAGCAAAACGTCGCCCAACCTCAGGATAAAAAGCGGGTTTCCGATGCTATCCCTTCTCCTCCTTTTTCGGCGGTCAAGTATATGGTGACGATGCGTATATCGGCGGCGCTTGTTCTAAATGCTGCTAGGACATGCGTTGTTACTGCTTGCACGGCTACCGCTCCCGCTCCGCAAGAGAGTCTTACGGGAGACTTTGCACGGTCGATCCGCGACCAAGGATTACTGATCTCTTACGACTCTTCCCTCGGGGAGGTCGTGGCAATCAAGATTAAGCGGGAGTTCTTCTTGTCCGCTCCAGTATCGACCTGTAGTGATTGACGTGGCATAAGTACCGTGTTCCGTACCGACTTCCCTTGGAGTGAAGGTTGAAGGATTTGGAGCAATCCTGCACCTTTGCATGGCGCTTGGACAGGTAAAAAGATTTGCGCCCCGTTGTCCCTCCACCTGCCCCCTGCTCCCCACCCCCATCTCTCGTACTCTGACCCCCCAACGAATGGTGAAACCACCTTCCCAGTCCTCCCATCTTCTCTCTATATCTAGAAAGTTTGGCTCATGCCCGATGGAAGCTTATGTCCCGTTCGGTACATCATGTTAGAGGTTTTGTTCTCTGAAGATCCAGCGGGATGGAAGCTGGTGAAAAGTACTTAAGGGCGCGATCCATCACCCTCTAAACATAAGTCGGCACATTGAAACCGTTTAACTGAATTGGGACCTTCTTGTCTTCCCATACCAGAGATCTTCTTCGTTATTTGAGGATGTGAATGTGTTTGCTCACTCTGGAGTAACCTTGCCGGGTATCATTGATTTTTGTCGCTTGGCATGTTGCATGTTGTTATAAACGCATGTTGTAGGCTCTCTTATATGCATCGTCCTTGAAATTTTAGCGAGTGGAGATTCTTCAAAGATGGATCTGCTGATTGTGTTCCATGTGGTGCTCATCTCAGTGTTGATGTTCATGGCGTACCTCGCCTTCCTTTTGTTTTTGGGCCACCAGTCGACCCAATTTTTTAGATGCATCGACGAATGTTGAAACTCGACGACTGTGCCCCCATCTGCCCAATGGTGTAAGGCGTAGACGGAGTTCATAAGTGCTAATCGTTTTGTGTCTTCCCACCGAGTGTGAGGGTGTAGGCTTAGAAGAGGGTTAATCCAGACTGTCAATTGCATGAGTAGTCTTCCTTTGGGTTAGCAACCATGGCTGCTTCTATCCGCTTCCCGATGCAATCTAAATGCCTCTTATGCTCTTCCATCCTCGCCCTTTTGCTCCTCTATCTGTTTTCCTTCGGCGTGCTGTTTTTTACCATTTGGATGACATGTTCCTCTCACTTCTCGTCTTGTCCGGTGGACCCACCTCTCCTATCTTCCTCTTGCGTCTTTAGTATGATTTCATTATCCTATTGGCTCTCTCTCCATGGGTCCGATTTGGTCGTTTTATTAGTTGGTATTCTTCTTTGGCATCGTAGCGACCAATTCTCATACGAATGGTATGCATGGTATGATGGGTAGCTGACAATACACCCGCTTGCAATAATCACGATCTTGTACGGATACAAGCTTCATCAGTACGGTTTTCTCTGAACCGTCTCAAAGTTCGGTAGCAGCAACACTGTGGATGATTGATTTGGGGACCAATACGTGTGGAGTAAGGATGGTTGGGAAGACGGGTTGCTTCCATGTAGTGTATTCAGGTTTATAATGGGGGGGATCGAAACTATTCGTTATTTGGGTCGGAGCAGGGAAGGGAAAGTGTGTCATGCACATGTGTTTGTAATGATGACGGTTCGGCAGATAGCCTGCTGATTGCTGCAATGGAGTTTGTGCGTTGGCGCTTGGACAATCCGTTTCTCTTCTTCAGTTTGAAGTAAAAAGGTCGAACTACGAGAGTTTGGGGGATGCTGTTATTTATGGATCAAGTGTCCAGTATGAATATGGAGGTGGAAGCGGGTAGAATTATGGAGTTCTATCATGAATGGAAGTGGGATGATTGGAGATACACTCTGGGTTCGTGCAATTATAGATGAATTTAGTTCTTGTAGAGAGATACTTCCATGACGTTGCAGTAATAGGTGAGGGGATCGAAGCTATGCATCGTTTGAATTGTAGTAGGGGAAGGAAAGGACGTTGCACACCTGTTGATTGTGAGATTAACAGATTGTCGGGTATTCTACTGGTTAATTGGTACAATTACACATAGACCGTCCCTGTATGTACCTTCATGCTTCGACGGATCGATGATTGGATTCTATTATGAATGGATAGGTTGGATTCCTACCTCGTAGGATCATTCTTTTGTATGCGTACGCCCTCCAGGTCGCCTCCTACGTTGTGGGTATGTTACCAATCTGTACAGGGGACTTAGTCACTCCTCCGATCGAACACGCTATAGAGAGGAATTTCGGCTACCATGGTGACATGGTCCGCGTGATGCAGGCGCATTTAGATCGAATATCCATGGTGAATACGGAGATAAGAGTATGCGGAGCGATGAGGTGTTTTTCATGAATAAAACTGGGGTCGATGGAGAGATTCGGCGCGCCATTATTTTCCTCCCTTTGGAATCACGCATTTCTGAATTAACACCGGTTAGCGTGATAAGATGCTTCCATGGTTAATATTGGAGTGGGTGGGAGGTTCAAAACTACTCGATTGTTTGAATCAGAGGAATATGGGGATTGGCGATTACGCATCTCGTTGCGCAATGATTGATGGTCTTAATGAATGGCTTCTCTCGGATACGAGTGTGCCGCGCTATTTGATTATCTGTCTAAGAATGAGGATCTTTCACCACAGGTTTGAGGTTCTATGGTACTTAGGCAGTCCCTATTGAATATCTGAGTTGTATTTCATCGGGTTAATAAAGGTTTTCTGCTATGAATGGATTAAAAAATCCGGCCACGTTGGATCGGTCGGTCGCATGTTCCGGTCAGCTTTTTTCTATCTTCGTAGGAACCTCTGTCCCTGGTTTAAGTTCGCCATGGGAATGTATCATGATACCATGGTTTGTATGATGTTATTGTGTTAGGATCGGGAGTGCATATTGGATACGAAACGTTGGTGAAACTTTGAAGTTGCTTTTGTTGTTCGATCATCAGTTGTATTGCATAATCTGCTTTGGTACAGTGTGGCTCCGTCCATGATGTTGTTTTCTAACGCAAATCGTAACGCAACATGTTGTGACACGGTCGCAGAAGCCACGCAATAAAACCATAACACACACACATTGAGATATTCCTCTCATTGCTGATGACGGGGTTAGAATCCCTATCATCTTGTTGTTGTCCAGGATGCGTCAACCAACACCTTTTGTGAGTTTGCACTTGGACCTTGATGATATGCTATAAACGATGGTTTGGCAATGGTTTTTTTGGTTACTCCATCTCATATCCATAATCATTGTCATTAATTCCGTGTATATAGCATCCTCACTATGTGTATTGCTCTACTTGTGAAACAGGTACCTTCTTTTTCGGCCAATGGGTGGTATTCTGATCTGTTTGTTGAGGGTACGGAATGGCTTGACGCGTTTTCTGCACCGGGTCGCCCCACGCAGACCCTCATCTCTCTTGCACCACCTAGGATCTTAGATTTTGTTCGGTTGCACTCGGTAGACTTTTCACCTCCTCTGGTCGTTCGACTTGTGGTCTGACCTCCTCTGGTCTACGACCAATGACAAACCCGCATTTCTCAAACTCACCAAGTTTCTTGTGACCCACTCGAAGGAGATCGTGGAGGAAGATGAACTTGTGTCTGCCGCCATCGATGTCAACATAGCAATCAAGGAGAAGATTTTTGTGAACCTCTTTGGCGCTGAGTCCAATTTCCATGCGGGTTTAGTTCAGCCGAATCCATCGCTTGAGGGATCTGATGAAGAGTTTGAGGGAGACGAGGAAGGGGATGAGGATGCCCTACCCCTCACAGAGGAGGAGAAGGCCTATCACGCGAAAGTGTTAGCGGAAGAAAGGAGAGAGAAGTTAAAAGCGGTCGGTGATAATCAGAGAACCTTTGTCAACAAGTACACCCGAAATGCCTTCCTGCCAATCGCACCACCTAGATGGATAGAGGCTCAGTCCAGGGAAGTGGAAGACAAACTGTGGGACCTATACACTTTCAACTACCTTATCCCTATTCACGTGGATTCGTACAAGTTTCTAGCCTCGCTCACCGAAGAGGAAATGAAGAAATGTGGGGAGAAGGCCTTGATGGAGAATACGAACCTAATTAGGGGCAATTACCCACTCACTCCGGCCACCATGAAACTTGCGCTTGTTGGAGAATTCAACCACACCAAGTGCTGTGTGTCCGCTTCCGCCCTTGCTGTCCGTGGCTTCCTAGCCCCAAAACAGCAATCTGCGATGGCTGAACTAAAGCGCATTTGGAATGTGGGTCGTCCTTACCTTAAGTGCCTGTGTGTAGCAGAAGGGAAGAGCGACTGCGGGAAGAACATCTCATGGTTCGATCATGTGTTGTGGTACTTGTTGTCTGATCTTCATTACCTGTTCCCTGAAGCTCCCTCCCTCAGAGCTCGTGGACGAGCATTCAGAGTCAGAGCAAAGACTACGTGGAGAGTTGCGATCCTTGCGTCGGTGGTGTTTGCGCATATGAGGGATGTGATGGTTCAGATGGCCTACAGTATGGCAGTAGACCCCTCGAGAACAGCGCAGAACATCCTGGACGACCCAGCTATTATGCTAAGTTCCCCAAAACCATGGCGAAACTCATTCTCCCGGCACGATATGTGCGATCCACGGAGAAGCGGAGGAAGGAGACGGTGGCAGTTTTCGTAGCGAAAAAGGCGAAGAAAGCACAGCCGTCCATTCTGAAATTTTATGTGCCCCCTGCAAGGGACAACAGCGTGGTTCTGGCAAAGGGCACAGCTATTTTGGTGGATATTGGTACCCCGACGTCCTCCTCCATCACGGTCCAGGATGATGGATAGGCATCGGCTTGCAGTAGACCATTGAGGAGAAGCCCGAGAGGGCTGGGGCTCTCCAGGACATCCCTCTTCAATCCCTAATCACTGTACATGTGTCTGTGTTGTGATTTGTGCAGGATAGTACAGAGGAGGGAGGGGGGTTCATGACTCGTGACCCCTCTGGCCGTGCCAGATGGCAGAAGCACCCAAAGGATAGGAAGGAATGCTTTGTGCACATCATGTACACAAGCAGCGTTATGGAGATCGTCCGCCTCAGATCTATCCTTGAGCGGACTATGGATTTTTTTTTGCCTCATGATGCATGCGAATTGTTGTCTTTGATTGTCATTGGGTAGACCTATATGAGCTCTTTGGAGAGCATTTTGTATAGACCGGCCACGATGTTTCGTGACTTCGTTTTGGATGAATGAATCTGTTTTTTGTGAGAAAGCTTCCTCTTGTCTTTGCTTCACAAATCGATTCCTGCCCTATCACCACCCTTGCACTCGTGACATGGTTCAACCCTTCGCATCACCCACCACCCATGTACTATCCCAGGATCCCAAGATATCTGCGCTTCCGACACTATCCAATCTCATTTCCCAAGGTCTGAACCACATCCCCCTACGCCCTTGCAATCCCCGTACTGCGTTCCATGAGTTTTTCAAAGCATGGCGTGTGGTTGTTTCATTTCTCTGTAGCAAAATACTTATCACAAAAGGGATGTTGTCCAATGCATCGGAGTTTGTATCTAAGGAATTACGCTCGCAATTGGGATTCTTACGATTGAAGAAACATTCGAAACCCCGGTGTGTAACGGACACTCACCCAGTTAAACACGAGATAAAGTTCCTCTCGAAGCGTCTCTTTATTGCAGGAACAGACAAATCTGCCACTACCCCGTCCTTTGCATGTATTCACCTCGTGAGGAAAATGGCATTAGAACGGCTAAGTAGCAAGGATTTCGTTCCAGTTCATTCAACTGCGAACCAAATTCTGGATGAAGCAACCTGTTCTTTATCCGCTTTTTTCCCCGCAATACCAGAAGGACCAAGGAAGCTGCCCTACCTAATGGCCCTGTACAAACCTCACAAAATGACATTCTGGTAGCTTACGAATGCATCATTCTCATTCCTTACCCGGTCGCCAGTTTGTGTGATGCTGTCCTGAAATGTCTATCCCCCCTAGTCATGTCCCGTTGTAAGGAAATCACGGACGGCCTGAAATCTTTCCATGGGGTTGACACATCCATTTGGTGGGCCATAGACTCGGTCCAGGACTATTGTTACAACCTCCCGAGCAAAAAATTTTCAGTGTTTTCTGCCGACATTACTAGATGTTTTGAAACAATCCCGATAGATTCATCGAATGATAGTCTTATATCTGTTGTATCTTTTTTTGTTGAGATGGCTTTCAAAACGGCAGAGTCAAGAAAGGAAGGGAGTCTCGTTAAGTGCAGAATCCGTAAGGACGGCTCCTTCTCCTGCTCCATTGATAAGAACCGCAAGGGGGCGCAGTCCTCTCCATCCACCTTCTGGCTATCCAATAAGGAAATCGTGTCACTAACAGTATGGTTAGTCTCTCACTGCTTCACATCCTCGGGCGGGAAGTTTTGGAGGCAAGGATCTGGAATCCCCATGGGCCTCCCATGTTCCCCCATCTGGTGCACAGTCTATTTTGTTTTTTATTATGAATGAAAAAAAAATAAAAAATTGAACCTTAGACATTCCACTGATCATTATGATACCCACATTGGAACCCTTACCATGTATAAAAGACCTGTGTTTGAAATCCGGGAAGGGACGGACCCTGTAAATAAGGTACCCCGTTCAAAAAGATCCCTTGGGTTGTATCCGGTCGCATACCCAATTATGTACGATTATATACGATCATATCAGGTAAGCGCATCCATCAGTAACCCTGGAATGACCCCCAGTGTGCTTACTGGGAAAACCCGCCCGGAAATGTACCCACACCTGGACTAGATTCCTCTCCACGGTCCCTTGTTGGATGCAATTTCTTGGTTTTGAGACATAGTTCACAGAGCAAAACGCCGCACAACCTCGGAATAAAAAGCGGGTTTCCGATGCTATCCCTCCTCCTCCTTTTTCGACGGAAGTAGGCTGTCGAGTATAGGGTGACAATGCGTATACCGGCGGCGCTTGTTCTAAGTGCTGCTAGAACATGCATTGTTACTGCCTGCACGACTACCGCTCCCGCTCTGCAAGAGAGTCTTACGGGAGACTTTGCACGGTCGATCCGCGATCGAGGATTACTGCTCTGTTACGACTCTTCCCTCAGGGAGGTCGCGGCAATCAAGATTAAGCGGGAGTTCTTCTTGTTCACTTCAGTATCGACCTGTAGTGATTGACGTGGCATAAGTACCGTGTTCCGTACCGACTTCCCTTGGAGTGAAGGTTGAAGGATTTGGAGCAATTGTGCACCTCTACATGGCGCCTAGACCGGTAAAAAGATTCGAGCCCTATTGTCCCTCCCCCCGCCCCCCGCTCCCCACCCCCATCTCTCGTACTCTGACCCCCCAACGAATAGTGAAACCACCTTCCCTGTCCTCCTATCTTCTCTCTATATCTAGAAATCTTGGCTTATGCCCGATGGAAGCTTATGTCCCGTTCGGTACCTCATGTTAGAGGTTTTGTTCTCTGAAGATCGAGCGGGATGGAAGATGGTGAAAAGTACTTAAGGGCGTAATCCATCACCCTCTAAACATACGTCGGCACATTGGAGCCGTTTAATTGAATTGGGACCTTCTCGTCTTCCTATTCCTTTCTTTACCAGAGATCTTCTTCGTTATTTGAGGATGTGAATGTATTTGCTCACCCTGGAGTAACCTTGCTGGGTATGATTGATTTTTGTCGCTTGGCATGTTGCATGTTGTTATTGACGCATGTTGTAGGCTCTCTTATATGCATCGTCCTTGAAATTTTAGCGAGTGAAGATTCTTCAAGATGGATCTGCGGATCGCGTTCCATGTGGTGCTCATCTCAGTGTTGATGTTCATGGCGTACCTCGCCTTCCTTTCATTTTTGGACCACTAGTCGACCCGATTCTTGAGATGCATCAACGACTGTCGAAACTCGACTACTGTGCCCCCATCTGCCTGGTGGTGTAAGGCGTAGACGGAGTTCATAAGTGCTAATCGTTTTGTGTTTTCCCACCGAGTGTGAGGGTGTAGGCTTAGAAGAGGGTTAATCCGGACTGTCAACTGCATGAGTAGTCTTCCTTTGGGTTAGCAATCATGGCTGCTTCTACCCGCTTCCCGATGCAATTTAAATGCCTCTTATGCTCTTTCATCCTCGCCCTTTGGCTCCTCTATCTGTTTTCCTTCGGCGTGCTGTTTTTTACCATTTGGATGACATGCTCCTCTCACTTCTCGCCTTGTCCGGTGGACCCACCTCCCCTATCTTCCTCTTGCGTCTTTAGTATGATTTCATTATCCTATTGGCTCTCTATCCATGGGTCCGGTTTGGTCGTTTTATTAGTTGGTATTCTTCTTTGACATCGTAGCGACCAATTCTCATACGAATGGTACGCGTGGTATGATGGGTAGCTGACTTTACACCTGCTTGGAGTAATCACGATCTTGTATGGATACAAGCTTCATCAGTACGGTTTTCTCTGAACCGTCTCAAAGTTCGGTAGCAGCACCACTGTGGATGATTGATCTGGGGACCAATACGTGTAGAGTAAGGATGGTTGGGAAGATGGGTTGCTTCCATGTAGTGTATTGAGGTTGATGATGGGGGGGATCGAAACTATTCGTTATTTGGGTCGGAGTAGGGAAGGGAAAGTGTGTCACGCACATGGGTTTGTAATGATGACGGTTCGGCAGATAGCCTGCTGATTGTTGCAATGGAGTTTGTGTGTTGGCACTTGGACAATCCATAATTTCTCTTCTTCAGTTTAAAGTAAAAAGGTCGAACTACCAGAGTTTGGGGGATGCTGGTATTTGTGGATCAAGTGTCCAGTATGAATACGGAGGTGGAAGCGGGTGGAATTATGGAGTTCTATCATGAATGGAAGTGGGATGATTGGAGATACACTCAGGGTTCGTATAATTGTAGAAGAATTGAGTTCTTGTAGAGAGATACTTCCATGAGGTTGCAGTAGTAGGTGAGGGGATCGACGCTATGCATCGTTTGAATCGTAGTAGGGGAAGGAAAGGACGTTGCACACTTGTTGATTGCGAGATTGAGAGATTGTCAGGTATTCTACTTGTTGATCGGTACAATTACACGTAGACAGTCCCTGTATGTACCTTCATGCTTCGACGGATTGATGATTGGATTTTATTATGAATGGATAGGTTGGATTCCTACCTCATAGGATCATTCTTGTGCGTGCGTACGTCCTCCAGGTCGCCTCCTACGTTGCGGGTATGTTACCAATCTGTAGAGGGGACTTAGGCGCTCCTCCGATCCAACACGCCACAGAGAGGAATTTGGGCTACTATGGTCCACGTGATGCAGGCGCATTCAGATCGAATATCCATGGTGAATACGGAGATAGGAGTATGCGGAGCGATGAGGTGTTTTTCATGAATAGAACTGGGGTCGATGGAGAGATTCGGCACACCATTATTTCCCTCCCTTTGGAATCAGGCATTTGTGAATTAACATCGGTTAGCGTGATAAGATGCTTCCATAGTTAATATTGGAGTGAGTGGGAGGTTCAAAACTGCTTGATTGTTTGAATTGGAGCAACATGGGGATTGACGATTACACATCTCGTTGCACAATAATTGAATCAGATGGTCTTAATGAATGGCTTCTCTCGGATACGAGTGTGCCACGCTATTTGATTATCTGTCTGAGAACGAAAATCTTTCACCACAGGTTTGAGGTTTTATGGTACTTGGGCAGTCCCTGTTGAATATGTGAGTTGTATTTCATCGGGTTGATAAAGGTTTTCTGCTATGACTGGAGTAAAATCCGGCCACGGTGGATCGATCGGTCGCATGTTCCGGTCATCTTTTGTCTATCTTCGTAGGAACCTCTGTCCCTGGTCTGAGTTCATCACGGGAATGTATCATGATACCATGGTTTGTATGATGCTATTGTGTCAGGATCGGGAGTGCATGTTGGATACGAAATGTAGGTGAAACTTTGAAGTTGCTTTTGCGGTTCGATCATCAGTTGTATTGCATAATCTGCTTTGGTACAGTGCGGCTCCGTCCACGGTGTTGTTTTCTAACGCAAATCGTGACGCAACATGCTGTGACACGGTCGCTGAAGCCATGCAATAAAACCATAACACACACACACACATACACACTTACCTGTTCTCTCTCTCTCTCTCTCTCTCTCTCTCTCTCTCTCTCTCTCTCTCTCTCTCTCTCTCTCTCTCTCTCTCTCTCTCTCTCTCTCTCTCTCACACACACACACGCACACACACACACACACACACACACACACACACATACACACAC